GGAACCATTTTCTGCTGCCGTGCCAGCATAATACGTTGTTGTGGGACATCTACGCGCTGGCCAAGTTCAAATCCTCTGCACTTTTGGAGGATATATGATGTTGTTGTTTAACAATGTTAATGATGTTGAGACTTGACACTTGTGAAAGTACGAACCGTACACCTTATTTGCAAGCGTTGAGACATTATTTACTCACTTTCACCATGTTTTTTACATTGTTGCCCACATTTATGCCGAAAATAGAAAACTGTGATTATCATCAAAATTATCAATATATAACCAAAATTATCAAATCTTCGTCGAAATACTGCGACTATACAATTAACAACTGTAAGAGGTGTCTTGGGGACACAAGAGACTACTTATATTCCGATTGCAGGGTTGTATGAAAGAGAACATTTTCATCTTAGGCCTGCCGCAGATTGATAAACCTTAGGCAACCAACTTAAGGGGAATTGTGCGAGTCCTACAATCCCATGTGCTTGGAGGTCCAACATAGTCTACAAGGGTATAAGTGTGTGGTAAACACCACCCACTTAGGTAGAAATTTTGCCGGTATTTTTCCCGCCTTTAATAATATGAGTATCAGCTCCAGTTGGCCAGATACCAAAGGCGAAATCGAATGAGTGTTGTGTTATAAAACTACTTGAAAATCTGATTTTGTACTAATGTGTAATGACGGTTTATCACTTAAATCAATGCTATTTCATTACAAAGTTCAATGCAAACACCCATCGTCAATTGCTTATTTAACCAACTAGACCAAGTAGGGCACATTAACCACCATTAAAACAACATCCCAACATTAGATTATAAGATCCTCATATAAACCTTATATGCCTCCATACTTTTCTATTTGCTTGCACCTAATCATACACTAGAAGCTGCCATGATGATATCTATTAAACCACAATATTTACATATATATGTCAAGCTTTTTAAGAATATTAAATATACGCAAACATATATAGACTACAACTCACCCAATTGTGAAAGAAATATGTCTAAAGACATGCAACTATTTCCTTTTTCTCACATTAAAACATTTCTTCTTTTAAGTCCCATCATCTAAAAAAGGAAATAAATTATTTTCATTACAACATATAATTGATTTTAGCATAGTGTTTGTAGTTGTCAATGATAGACATTAGAACTATATAACAAAGATTGTTATAATCAACATTCAACAACATTTTATGTTGTTAATAGATAAATTATATTAGCTAATATTGTGCTTTAAACAAATGTTAGTGAAGTATAATAGTTTAGTATAAATACTATTTTATTGGATAAATAAGATGACAAAATATAAAAATTGGATTTTCAGTATTATTTAATGTTTGTGAAAATTATAAACTTATCGTTCAAAACTGAATAGACGCCCCTCAATTCAAGGCGCATGTTCTAGTTTGCATTATAAATAACAAACTAACTGACAGACCCTCTACTTAACAGATTTGGTGTTAGACTATTATTTTTATCACAATTTGACACGAATTTGGTGTTACACTATTCTTTTTTTCATCGCTTGGAAAAGATTTGGTGTTAGACTATTGTTTTTATGATCATTTGACACAACTGTTGTATTCTATACTAAAATGCGTCGACTGCAAATTAAAAATTCCTACCCACAGAACATCTAAGAACATGCTACGGGAGATGGATCACTGATCGTTGCCACTAGACGCGCAATGGCGTGCAGCGGAAGTAGAGTTGGGGAAGCGCGTCTCCGGAGTCGTCTCCTCCTCGTCCGATCTCCCTCGAACAACCGGTCGTTGGATCGTACGTACTGGTTCGCGGGAGCGGCGCGAGTGCACCGCTTCTAATGGTATCTGTGCATGCAGGAGGAACACCGTGTGGCGGACTGCTAGATCCAGTCACACAGTCGACGGTGAGTGGAGGTGGCTATTCACAACACATGCAAAACCTAGTGATGGCACCGAAGCGATCAACAAATGGGTGTGCCGCACCTCCACTTTATATAGGCATTCGTCGTGGGCTCAACATTTGGGCCTCCCACGGATCCTAATGCACAAAGTCAGTTTGGCCCGTATCCGCGTCCGGGTAGGATCACACCTGACTCATGGAGTCGGATCTGGATTCTCTGGTTCCTTCCCTTAAGGGTGTGACCCCTTAGATTCTCGTTCACTTGGTCGCGAGTCAAATCACATCCAACTCAGCTAGTCGGTAGGGGCCTCTAGAAAAGCATGACGACTCCAAGTGTCCGATAAAGCTGGTTAGGTGAACCTGTACGTCACACTTCTGTTCCCTTTGTCACACGATATATGTTGTCGGGCTCAAGGCGAGTTTTGTCATCCTTGTGCTAGCCCGACCTTTTTCTCGTTCCAGTGATGCCGACCACAAACCGGATTATCTCATAATGCTTGTCGCATGGCCATGCTTATCTTGGTCGGATCACACGAGGGCCCCAGAGTATATCTCGCGTGATCGGAGGGGCAAATCCCATCTTGCTCGACCATGTCATGCAGCATGGGTCTGGACAAGCCTGAAACCCACGTTTGTAACTACCCAGTTACGGAGTAGTGTTTGGTTGGTCCAAAGCAAGTTTGTCACCATCCCCAGTACATGCGACAGCTCAGGTCTTAGGATCTAGAACATATGTTATATAAGAGACTCACAGATGACATATCGCTACATCTCATAGTCGTCGAATCCGAATAGATCCTTCCGAGTCCATATAATCCGGTTAGCATCCAATGCTCCATATCTAGTGAGACTGAGCCATCCACCGTGTCATATGTAGTCTAGTCGGATACACGTCCACACGACCCTTTTGACTAGGGACCTTTTAGTACAATCATCACACAATGCATAGTCCCACAAACAAGTCACGTAGTTGCTGATACACATCATTAATAATGTCCAAGGACTATCTTTATTCATAAACACATAGAAAATATCATCATACATGATTGCCTCTAAGGCATATCTCCAACAACAACTACATTTGTTCATTTTTAATGGACATCATACATAATTGAGTTTTTTTTGTTTCATTTTATGTTATAATTTTTTTGCTTTTTAAATATATTGTGTAGCACTCGAACTAGATGTCGTATTCTTCTCTTTTGGCAAAAAGGGAATTTGCTCCAAATTGCCGCAGTGACATATGTATTAATTGATTTTTCTTCCAAAACTGCTTGGTCCCGCACATCAAGTAGGAAGAACAAGGTTTTCCGTTCCCGAAGGATGGTTGTTAAATCAGAAGGGCGAGAACCGGCGAAAAAAACCTTTAGAAACCAAATAAATACTCACGCAAAGTATGAAAATATCGAGCCATCATAATGGTACCACAAAAAAGACATCATGTTTCAGTTAAGTGATTAAGTCTAGTTTTCTTTTACGAATGTTCAGAAGGCATATGTTTTCTGTCCTGGAAAATAGAACTTGAGTAGTGTTACAAAAAGACGAAGGAAAAAACTAACACCATTTCTTGATTTGTCCTTTTTTTTTGCCTTCTTCATGCATATTTCGATGTTGGATATGATTTGTTTTTTTTACAGATTGCGGGCGCATGTCTTGTGGATGTTCACAATTATTCTGAGAACTGGAAATTTTGAGTTTTCGAGTACACACTACTATCAAGCCACCATGTGATGGTTGTATTGCAGTGATGAGCTGAGTGGGCTTGCTAGACTAGAGGTGGAGCCATCACCCTGGAGTAATGAATTAGCAGCAGCGAGCACCCGCAACGGAACCAAATGATGCCTGCGCCCTCCTCCATGTCCCGTCCCGTCCCATCCGTAGCAAGGCTAGCAGTACAATCCTACCCCTCCGTTAGTCAGCTTGCATTAACTGCCCCCGTCCTCTCCCCTCTGACCTCTCCCTCTGACCACCATGCCCTCACCCTCACTGCCACCTTTCCACCATTGACCCGAGCAAACAACACCCAGCAGCCAGCACCAACGGCGACGGCGACGGCGACGCCGCGAGATAGAGAGAGAGAGATCACGCCGCACATCTCCATCTCCACTGCGCCCGCCGTGCCACTCACACTCTGTGGCCACTGCTGGTGTTGCGCCCCAGCAGAGCACGGCCGATTCGATATTCGCATTCCCTCCACCACCACCACCACCACCACCACCTCCCCCGCCCCTTTTATTCCCGCCTCCACTCCACTCCTCCTCCCTCCACACATCCCCACCGCGCGCCGGCGCACCACCACAGCCCGCCGCAATGCCTCCCCCTCCGCACC